GCACAGTCAACATGTGCTTCTTCAGTGTCTCGACCTGACCACTCTCTCTGCAGCGTCCAAGATCTTCTCGTGGATCACTTCTTCGCGGTCGCGATCGTAGTCGGGCCAACCGTCCTTGAGCACCATACACGGCCCTATCTCCACTCCTCCAGGCCCATCCAACTCCTTGACCTCCCACACTCGCGTGCCACGGCCACGGATGGACTCGGCCCCAATGGCTGAGATCAGACGCTGCGTCCGGTACCACTTGCCGCCGACTTCTATCTCGTATGGTACATCGCTCTCACCCTCTCCAGGCGGCAGTCGCACGATCGTCTCGTCGAATCCCAGTGCATGCCGCTCCGCATACAGAATGCGCAGGAAAAATCCAGCGACGCGCCCGATGGCCTGGACGTGAATGAACAACAGTTATCAGAGACCACTTGGGGAGACCGCTCACCGTTGTGAAATCGTTCTCGGGATACGAAGCTAGCACGACCTGGCGACTGGCGAACCACAGCCGCATACGCGTATTCTCAATCGTGAACCCGAATACGAATCTACGTCTTGCGTCCTCGCGCATAGCGTGTGTTAGCGACCATAAGATCTGACTGGCGTTCTGAGAGCATATCAGTATCCTGAACAGTTGCGTATCGTGCAAGACATACTGCATTCAGGTCTGACACGTCGTCTCCCTTCTTGTACTCAGCGGGAACAACAATATTTTGCCATTTCGGGGGCACCTCGTCCAAGGCCCTTCCTTCGTTCAGTAAGAAGTAACCATCCGGCTTGGATCTGTTACTCCTCGACTCTGACGACGGGACAGTGGTAGGCCTGCACTTGAATCGCACCGTCAACTTCTTGGAGTGACTGGAGACCTTCTTGAACGCCTTGTTGCTCGCGACGACGATTTTCTCTATGGCGGAGAAAACCTTGTCCTCGCTACGGTCCGTTTGCGATTTCGGAGTCCCATTCGCAAAGGCAGCCCACAGGAGTTTATTCTGCCGGGATATGACTGCGGGAGTTTTCTTAAGTGCGTCTACGACTGCCGTTATGTCGACGTCGCGCGGCAAGGGAGGTAGAAGACAGTCTTCGAAGTACTCCCAAGCAACCTGAGGCACGGTCTCTTGGAGGTCATCGAGCATGACATTACGACTGGCGTTGGTCGCTAGGCCTTGAGGAGCACTATGAACCACCTTTTGAAGGCAGGGAGTATCATTGATATCAGACGCAAGGGGGAGTAGTACACTCGACGGCGTACGGGGTGGCTCCATGATGGGGATGTCGGAGACTTGTGTCTCTCCTGTCCCATTTTATAAGGCTCAGAGGCAGTGGCCATGGCCGCTGCACGACGTCTTAAGGGGTTAGACATTATGCGAGGAGAAGTGGCCGCAGGCGGTCGTGGATGAAAGGAACAAGACAAGTTGAAGCCCAATCTGGGAACACTCAATTCCAGCTCCGCATACCGCATTCTCGTCGGAAGCAGCTGTGCACTTGTTATACTTTCTGGCATTTATGCAAAATATAGAGCTTGGACACACTTAATACTTCGAGAAATGCTTTGTTGCTTGCATTGGGGCGTGCTGGGCTCCGAAAGATTGAGGTTGCCGCCTTGGCTTCCGTAAACGCAGATTGATGCGCCATTAATTGCGCCACCAAGCCCCGCCGCCGCCCGCGCCTCAATTACTGTATCTCATCAGTGTTTCGAAAACAAATTGAAGTGCTGCAGACTCCGAACATGCGCCCGCCGGTAGTCAGGGCACTAATTACGCCACTTTTACTCTAAATACGCTCTATTTCGTGGGATCGCTGAGACGCTACGTACATGCGAAAAGTATCAATATATTATATATAGATGGTACAACTCTGGCGAAGTGGAGACGGGAAGCAGGGCTCGCCGGCTCTTATCACAATACGGGCCAGAAGATGGCGCATGACATGGCTGTCTTCAGTCACTCGGCGTGCTCAACTCCAAGAGCTGCGCTGCTGCTGACCGTAATGCGATTCTGCCGTGGATCTTGACGCATCTTGCCGCGACGCGACGCGGCGGCCACTTCCTCAGGTCTTGGATGCTTCAGCTTCCTGTTCTTCCTAGGCGGTTCCGAGTCCGTATCCTCTTCCTCCGCAACCGTAGCCATCGTGGTAGGCTGTCCGGCAGTCTCGAGCATGGTGATCATCTCTCTCTGCTGCTCGGAGAGAAGGGTCGTCCTGGGCTTGAAGACTATGTGCTCCTTCTCTTGGGCGCGGATTAGCTGTTCGTTCCAAATGCTCGAAAAGATCTCGGTCGCCTTCTTGTAGAACTTGGCTTTGTGCGCGACCGTGTACGGTATCGCCTCCGGAACCGGTGTGGCAGAGGAAGCAGATGCGGCCTCGATTGCGGCTTGCAATTGCCGCTGTTCTGCAGACCGGTAGAGGCCGACTAGTTCCATAATATACTCGTCCAGTTTGTCGCAGATCGCCTGGATGGCGGGGTGGAGCTTGGCCAGTGACGAGCAGAATGCGTTCCCAACTCCGATTACCTCAGACCGAAAGACGCTGTCGTTGAACAGTTTTGCCGCAAGCCTGCTACGTGCCAGGGAATAGTTGGCCCACTCCTCGTCGGGGAGATCTGCGTTCCACTTCTCGATGGTCGAGCAGAGGACGATGTATAGAGCTAGCCATAAGACCGACTCCAAATCGTGTAGTGGGTTGTGTCTGAACGGCATGACATGAAGGACGGGCAAGGCGTCTGGTACGGGCAGCGTGTACTTCTTTTTGTCGGGAGGCCATTCTGAGTCAGGCACAAGCTGCTGCTCCCTGACCAGCCGCAGTTCTCGGGCAGTCTCCGCATCGGAGTCTTCTGATTCTTCCTGGGCGTCAGACGAGGTGTGATCCTTATTCGCGCGCGGGCCATTCCGCTTGCCGAATCGATATCTGTGCTGCTCGACCTCGACCGCCATAAAATAAGCCGTACCCTGCCAGTTGCAATTAGGCAATGGTATAAAGAGAAAGACGACGAATTTAGCACGTACCGTCCGCACTTCATGGCTCCTATCATCGGACTCATGCTTGGCGTACTCGACATCGACAAGTTTCCCAACGTTGTTGATGATGAGAACATTGCCAGCACTAACGTCTCTGTGAACCCAACCACATTGGTGCAGAACCTTCAGTACTGTTCGATAAGGAAATAATTAGCCAGAGGAACAAGTGCGCGACGCATGCAATCTTACTCGTGATGATGTTCGCAAGGACTCGAAATGCGGCCCCGAGCGTTCCGGCTTCCATGATCGTCTTGCCTACATCGCCGAATAGGATACGGTGATGAACTTTCGCAGCGAACATGACTGGTCCTGGCCCTTCCGATGATGTTCCTGCTATCGCGCCTTGAGGAGGTAGCGTCACATCCACCGTCTTGTCTTCGTCCGGATACTTCTTCACGGCCATCGCTCTCATTGCTGGAGGGAGTGGTCGGCGGCAGATCACCTTGCGCGTACTATCAACCTTGTTCCCAGCAGTGCGAACGTCCCAAGAATCCTTGGCATGCAGCAGGTACGTGTCGAACGCCTCACGTTGCACGTCCGTCGTCGCTGACTTGCGAATATTCTCGAGAATCGTCGCCTCGCGATCTCGATCCGCGTCGACCCACGAATCCTTCAGAACCAAACGTGGCCCAATCTCTTTCCCTCCCCGTCTGTCCAGTTCCCTGACTTCCCACACCCGAGTGCCTCTCCCGCGTAGTGCCTCCGCTCCAATGTTCGAGATCAGACGCTGCGTTCGATACCACTTCTTGTTCACCAAGATCTCGTACTGAGGGCCACCACAGCTGTCCAGTGTCGGCAGTCGCACGATTGTGTCGTCGAAGCCTAATTCATCTCTCCGGGCAAACGATATTCGCAAGACAAAGTCGATAACCTTTTCAATATCCTGCGGACGGAATCAGTATGGCAGAGTCATATATGGCCAGATGGTCACGCACGGTCAAGAAGTCGATGGGATAAGATACTAAGACATCCGACCGAGTTGCCACCCACAGCCGCATCCGACAGTCTTCGATGGTGAATCCGATGACGAATCGACGCCTGGGATCTTCCCGCATGATATGTGTCAGAGACCACAAGATCTGCGTGGCGTTCTGACAGAGTGGTGTGGGTCAGTTCACGACTCTTTACTCCACTCGAGAAATGCGAGAGCGCTTACCTGATTCCTCGACTCGTCAGTATTCTTCTTCTTGAACTCTGCAGGAACAGCTATGTCTATCCATCTGGGAGCCGACTTGTCCACACTGTCGTCGTTGACCACGAAGTAGCCATCGGGCTTCGACTTGTTGTCCCTGGTGGAGGAGGAAGGCACCGTGGTCGGCTTGCAAAGGAAGTTGGTCTCTCGTTTCACACGAATGTTGCTCGACCCACGGATGGCCGAGATGATATCTTGTAGCACCGCGAAGACCGTGTCCTCGTCATCCGGGTCGACTGCCGGAGGGCAGTTCGCGAATGCCGACCAGCGAGCTTGATTATGAACCGAGGTCAAGACACCTTTGTTGGTCAGTGTCTTCATGATCTCCTTCATGTCGAAGCTGTGGTGCGAAGCAGGCAGGATCGCCTGCTGAAACCATTGCCATTCGGCTTGGTACACGGTCTCTTGCAGGTCGTCGAGGACAACGTGGCGCAGTTGGTTGGTCGCAAGGTCACATGGTGCAGTGACAGCTTTCCGCTTTTGGGCAGGAGTGTGAGCAGTGTTCGATCCGGCCATTTTCGACTGCGTACGTGGGGGGGTATGGTGTCCAACCATGGTGCGAAAAGTGATTGAGACTTATCGCATCCAGGATGACACATTTTATAGGTCTCATGGCCAGTGGCCATGGCCGCTGCACGACGCTTCAGAGGGTTAGTCATTATTCGGCGGGAGTAGCAGATGGTCGTGGGTGAAAGGAACAAGGGCGAGTGAAACCTGCG